AGAACAAGAAGGCAACAGATACACACGAGTTAGACAGGTTTGGGCCGTCAGCAAGACGTAATACCCTACTTCTGTGGTCTGTTGGATTATATTGGCTATCGTATGATATTGCCTATGTTTGGAGGGGGTCACTGCCTGCCTTATATAGTACGGGGGGCAAGGTTACAAGTCAGTTAGATCTAGAAGATAACCGAAAAGTAATAACAGATTACAGGAATCATGAGATCATACATATCCTAACAGATCTCGTATCATCTTCAGGATATCTTTCCGGTGTCTTGCGGGACGCGCCGAGCAGCGCCGTGCCCCGCAAGGCTTCATCTTGTGGGCTAGGCCACCCCTGGGAGCGCAGCCCATGTGGTCTACCGTGGGTATCCGGGGTTGTACCCCCACAATATTGTTTATATTTTCAATACGTCTGACCTTTCATTCTGGATCCTTGAAGACTATGGTACTAGTAAATGGACATTGAAGCATATGGTGAACACGCTGTAGCTATTTTGACTGAACAATATTGGACTCAGTTCTGAGGCTGCCAATGCGGACTACAGAGTGATTGCAGTTCACCTAGAATGAAATTTGATTTTCCTTATTGGGGAGGACAACACTGATGGCATATGACATGAGCTGCAGAAAAGTTCATGTCCTCTCTGTCCGGGTCGTCCACTATCCTAAAAGTACCTAGAGTATTTATTTGAACGAACCTCACTATCTGCCTTATGTTCCCTTATTCATGGAGTCATTAGCAGAGCAATAAAGGTGCATATGCTGTATTTTGTTGTTAGGACATGTCTTTGTTCAGGTAGGGAGTTGTTTTGAGTCTATATATAGTCTAATTTTGGCTTGGTAACTGAACCAATGATATGTTGAATATTATTAATTCTGCTACTTTATATTATGTAGGTTTTGAAGTCTCAGTGCTTTTGAACGATTTTTCTGCAATGGCTGTGGGAGAAAGAAGAGGGGTTCCATGCTGCATTGGCTGCCAAGCTGATCAAGGAGTGCCAATCTGAAGGAGCAGAGCACATCTACCTCGTTTTAGTTACGTAAGTCTGTAGGGAACGGAATCTTTATTATGTTATTTATCTACCGCTTGTGTTAATTCATCAGTTGACACAGTTGTTATGTTAGTGTCGAGCATTGTTATTATAACAAGTACTCTTTGTTGTGGACATGATGAATGATGTGTAATGATTGTATCTGTAAGGTGTGTGTTCAGTAAGTTATTAAGGCCCAGCTGAATTAGTAAATACATTGTGAAAACCGGATGCAATTCTGTCACCGTCGGATGTAAAGGCCGTTGGTTGTTTTGTCATCACTACCGTACCACTCGCCTTTGGTGAAGCAGACGACCATCACCACCGCTATTCGTCTGATGCGGCAGGGGTCAATAGTGCATCACCGTCGAATCATTTAGTAACCCGACACCGACTAAAGGATCATCACGGGCGGATCATACTACAACGGGACGGTGACCATGCCCTATGACCAGACGGTTCATACACCGAAGAGACGGTGATGTTTGGCTCGACACTGGCAGGTCACACTCCAATGCGATGGAATAAGGATCTGATCACGGACAGATCATAAGCCATGCGGCGGTGTTAGTGCATGCCCACACACGCAGGTCATGTTCCAATGCGATGGAAGTAAGGACCTTATCACGGACGGATGATAAGCCAATACGGCGGTATAGTGTACACCCCAGTCGGTCTCAGATTCCGACGGTGATGGCTATGAGCTTACTGTCGAGGCCGAAATTGGACTGCGATGTGGGTTATGACACGGCTGTGAAAGGTGCGAGTGTAGTAGTGAGAATACACCAACATTATTTGTAGGACATTAAATTGCTATGAAATATTTCTTGGTAGTGCATTTATTATTTGGCACTAGAGTTGATGACCTTTTTTAAACTAGTCAAAGTTTGGGAGGTTTGAGTTAGGCCAAAAATAAGATAAAATTGACTATATTTGTGACTGAGGTAGAACCATAAAAAAAACTTTATTGTATTGGGCATGTATAAATGTGTACCAATTAACAATTTTACATGGAATTTAGATTTGAGAAATTTGGTTAGATTTGATTTCTGGCATGACATGTACAGCCCTAGGCGGACAAGATAAACTGAGGCTGTTTATTAGGACGTGGTACTGAACTTATATAGAGAGAGAATATGATGGTCATGTTCCATGACATTTATAAAGAAGATCTACTGCTTATTTCTCTCAACTTCGGAACCATAACACTTCTGCCAAAATGCTAGGAGGCAATTAGGATTGAACAATACAAACCTATTTGCCTTTTAAATGTGAGCTTCAAGATTTTCACAAAGGTAGCAACAATTAGAATAAATAATGTGGCTCAGAAGGTAATACAACCTTCTCAAACTAGTTTCTTTACGGGTCGATACATTTTAGAGGGAGTGACGATTTAACAGGAATCAATCCATGAATTGCATAGGAAAACCCTAAATGGGGTAGTTTTTAAAAGTTGATTTCGAGAAAGCATATGACAAAATGAAATGGACTTTCCTCCCAGCAAACACTATGAACGAAAGGATTCACACCTTTGTGGTGCCAATGGGTCCAACAATTCGTTTCTGGTGGGAGTGTTGCTGTGAAAGTAAACAATAATGTCGGTCGTTATTTCCAAACTAGAAAAAGACCTATGACAAGGTGATCCACTTTCACCTATTCTTTTTAATCTAGTTGTGGATATGTTAGCCATATTCATCGCTAGAGCCAAAGAGAATGGTCAAATTGAATGCCCAATTCTCCATATGGTGGATGGTGGCCTCTCGATTTTGCAATATGCCGATCATACTATACTTTTCATGGAGCATGATTTAGAACAAGCAAAGAATGTGAAAGTTATTTTTATGTGCCTTTGAGCAACTATCTGGTTTGAAAATTAGCTTCCAAAAGAGTGAACTTTTTTGCTATGGGGAGGCAAAGGAGCACATGAAACAATATTCACCAATCTTTGGATGTGGAATGGGTCATCTTCCTTTCAGATATTTGGGCATACCTATGAATCACAAATAACTTAATGATAAAGACTGTAAAGTGGTTGAAGAACGCTTTCAAAAAATTGAGTAGTTGGAAGGGTAAACTTTTTTTGAAGGAATGGAAGGGTAAACTTTTATCATATGGTGATCAGTTAGTTTTGATAAACTCAGTGTTGAGTAGCCTGGCCATGTTTATGATGTCTTTTTTGAAGTACCCAAAGGCATTCTTAACAAGTTAGATTTCAAAGGTCAGTTTTTTTTCTAGCAAGGTGACAACCATAAGAAAAAGTATACATTAATGAAATGGGAAATTCTTTGTTTACCAAAGGATCAAGGAGGTCTTGGTATTATGAATCTTGAAGTTTAGAACATTTGTTTACTTAGCAAGTGTTTGTATAAACTAGTTAATGAAGATGGTGTGCGGCAGGATTTTCTTAGGAAGAAATATTTAAAAAATAAAACCATCGATGAAGTTCATTGGAAATCGAAAGATTCACGCTTTTGGTCAGACCTTATGAAGGCAGAGGACCCCTTCTTTGATCTCTCCATTTTTAACAATCACAATGGTAGTCAAACCAAGTTTTGGGAGGACAAGTAGCTTGGAAACTTCACTCTCAAAGAACAATGCCCGTCTTTATACAAAGTTACAAGGAAAAACATATATCAGTAGCTAATGCTTTTATTTCCATACCCCTTAACATTTTCTTCTCAAAAGAGCTCTAGCGGGGGAAAAGCTACTTAAATGGAATGAATTAGTGGATGAAATTGCTTTTGTGCACTCGGATGATCAACAAGATTCTATTAACTGGAGCCTTACAAGACAAGGATCGTTAACTGTGCAATCAATGTATATATAAACACTTAATAAACTGGAAGTGTCGCATGATGGAGTTGATTCCAAATTATATTGTATACATTGTGTTAATAAACACTTAATAAACTATCCAAAGACAACTTAATATAAACACAACACAATCAATGTATAAACACTCAATGAATGGGCTAATTTTAACCATTGACAACTTACTAAATAGAAACCGGAAACGAGATGATAGGTGTTGTTTTTGGAACAATAAGGAAACTATCTAGCATTTGTTCTCTGAGTGTCATGTGGCTAAATTTGTTTGGAGAATCTGCCAAGTGGATTTTAATTAATCTCAAATGATCAAAAGATGTAACCGACTTATTTAGGGTGTGGGATGTACAAATAGACAACGTTTGCGCTCTCCGATTTGTGTAAGGACAAGCGCAGTCTTTTGATCTATATTTGGCTATTTAGAAATGAAGGGATTTTTGATAAAAAATGACTATACTCTTATTTGCATGCTGTTTTCAGAGCAACTTATTGGATCCGTTTCTGTAATGCACTACAGAAGAAGAGCGACAAGACACTTTTGAAGGGGCATGTCGCATGATGGAGACCTTGGCTATGGAAATATTCACCAAGCATGGATGGTTGTCGTTGAAACAGCTTAGCGTTTAGTCAGTCGTCCTTTTGTTTGGTTTCACTTTTTGAGAGCTAAACATATGAGAACTCTGGAACTATAATAAACATTGGTTGTGTGTAAAACTCTTGCAGAGACCGAAATAAATTCCTTTTTTCTAAAAAATATATAGATAATATATGTGAAATAATGACTTACTATATTGACTGCCGCTGAACGAAATTATTTGAGGCAAAGCAAAGGTACTCGACTTTACTTTCTCTCTCTCTATATATGGAGATGTTAACAGAGAGAGATGGTATATACTCCTCCTGTCCTTAAATATTTATCGTTGTTGGTTTGCATGCCATAAGTTTAACTAGATTTGTAAAAAATATTAGTAACATTTGTATCTCCAAATAAATTTATAATGAAAATAGATTTAACGATCTATCTAATGATATTAATTATATATCATAAATATTAATATTTTTTATATAAATTTAGTTAAAGTTATTTTTTTGAAGCGAGAACGACAATTAACGGGACAAGAGGGAGTACTACGTTACCTGTGTCCGGTTTGCAGCCGTCGATAATATATGGATTGCCCACGTAGCCTGTGTTGCACTTGCAGTTGTAACCATAACGCCCAATACCATCACGACAGACGCTACTTCTGCTAACACAAGCATAGGTTGTCTTGTCTTTAATGGCTTCTACGCAGGTTAGTGGATCAATGATTCTCCAATTGGCAGACAAGGAAGCAACAGTAACATTGACAGTATCCCGCAATAAGCTCAGATTGTGGTGTAAGTTGGAATCAGCTCCACTATGATGGCGAACGAATTTAAGTTGGACAGAAGACAAAAAACTTGCGTCAAAAAAGCCATTGTCAACAAAGTAGATGGTGCAACATCCAGTGATGTCGGAACCACAGTCCGGTGTGTATGTGAGTCCACCGTCAGGGCAGATAGGTGTGCAGCTGGACGCCCACGTCGGTGTATTCACCGGAGGATTCTCCCAGTGTACGTCGAAATCACAGCCAGAAAAGATAAGGCCCGAGTAATGTAGCTCGAAAGAATTCCCAAGAGATATCGAAGGCAAAGACCAGGAAACTACTGGTGCAGATGAATTCAAGGAGACGGTGGAGGTGAAGTGGAGGATAACCCAGTGCTCTGAACCGGAGTCGGTATTCTCCGTGGTAACAATGGTGATGTTGTCGATGACCTGGGTGGTGCCATCACGCATGAAGAGCTTAGGAGGCTGAGTGGTGTCATTACAGGTGAGCTCGAAGTCGGAGCTGCGAGAGCAGTTGGGGCCGATACCGAAGGGGAAATCGAAGGTTAGATCGCCGCATCGGCTAGGGCAACCGGCGGCGGGGGCGATAGACGGCGCCGCCCTTTCTCCGTTGCCACCAATTTGTTGCTGCCTTCCCGCCGCAACATCGGAAGCCTCCGCCCCAGCGTCGTAGACGCCAGAACGCCAAACAAGTGCAGAAGAATCATGGCGTTCACGTAGCGGGCGGGGTGGTCACCACATTTACGGAGGGCCATTACTGAGAGGTGTATCATCAGTATCCTAGCTAGGTGCTAGCTATCCTGACTGTTTGCCACTAGTATAGCTAGCTTATATAAGGAAGAGCGGGCGGTGACGACACCAGGTGGTCACACGGATTAGACTTTCTTAGAGCATCTCCAAATAAAAGGATCTTAAAAATCACTTAGTAAATAAATGGTTATTATGTATCAAATAAACAAAATGGACAGGAAGTTTTGATTTCATTTTCTTCAAAATAGTTTCCAATAGTTCGCTTTCAACTCAAAAAACAGACTATAAGTGGAAAACCGAGTGGGAGGATCACTACGTCACATATGATTTGTAGGGACGGCTCATAACCATTTGTAGCAACGGTTTTTTCAGCCGCCCCTACTAAACCGTTGCTATAAATGTCGGATTTGTAGGGGCAACTACTGATTTGTAGGGGCGGCTCGGCTGGCCCTTACAAATCCATTTTTCAGAAATCACGAAATCAGGCAAAAAAATACGAAATTTTTTTTTTTAATCGAGGAAGGCCCCCACCGGTCAATATGATCAAAGTTAAAGCATCTCCAAGAATTAATCTCACTCTCTAAATCTTTATTGGAGAGTCATTTAATAAGAATCGCTCTATATACATTGACCCTCCAACAACTTCTCTATATGTTGTGTGTACTCTCGAGAGTTATTTCTACTTTTTTCTTTGGTTAGCAAGAAACCAGAAATAGAGAATGTCAATATTTAGAGGTCTAATTGCGTCAAAAAATATTTAGAGGTCTAATTGAAAAAACTGTTGGAGTATTTTTTTTTTCTATGTACGGAAGAATATAAAGCAACTTTGTAGTTGCTCTTAATCTGTCAATGGAATTTATAGGTGGTTGTAGACCACGTGGGATGTGTGGTTAGCAATCCCATGAAACTCACTCAGGGGCAGTTTGAATTCCTTTATTTTGGAGGAATTGAAATCTACTTAATGGATTAGGCTATTTGACTTGTAATTTGATATTCCATAATATTTTTAAGCTCATAAATAAATCTATCTCAAATTCATAGGGTGGAAGATGAAAATGGATTCTATAGATCACTATACTATAATTCTACTCTTCAACTTATAGCACACTCTTCAACTCACTTCCTTACAATAGAAATGTAACATATAAGTATGTCCCTTGTGTGCCTAACAATAAATATACAAATATATTCCATATACAACTATATTAGCTTAATTAATCTATGTCTAAAATATAATTATTAGAATGAATTCAATTCCGGATCCAAACAGGCCCAAAAAAGATTTATAGGTGGCTGTAGAAACTATGCTTTTACGTTCAATCAAACTAACTGCATGCTGTGGAATTTGGAGTCAAACCAGAGTCAACAGTTTTAGATGCACCACATGTTGTTCAAGACTCATGAGCCAAATCTACATCATACCCATCGATCGTTTGACTACCCCCATCATTGCTCAAGAGCCACCTATCTGTTAAGCACATTATTCATCCCATTGAAGACAGTGACAGAGACTTACTATGACGTGCTAACCTAGAGTGCGTTCGGCTGGCTGGCCGGCTGAGGCTGGGCTGGCCAGCGCACTCATAGGTTTACTATTCATATAAATAGTGTTTTTAAATAGAATAGTATTTTTCTCTCATAACAATCAGTCGGAACAGTATTTTGGTTTATTTTTCAGTCTTGCCGAACAGGCTCCTACCGTGCGGAGCATGGCAAGCGGAACAATTGTTAGAACTGCTTTAATGGTTATATTACTAAGGGCAACCCCAACACGAAACTGGACAAAGTTTCCATGGCAATAAATTGCTCATCACGTAGATGAAAATGTGGCGTGTCCAGAGAGATAAGAGGAGAGATGAAAAAAAAAACAAGAAACGATTTCGCATGCAGGAAACCATTTTGGCTAGCTCCAATTGGCCGAAGCACGTGGAAAAAGCATGTGGTAATAGTTTTTTAATGACTATAGTTCGTGGACGTAATTTTTCAGAGCAACTCTAAAAAATATGTAGAATTTGTTATGAAAAAAAATCAAAAACCAACTATCTAAAACAACGTAGCCTCTCAAAATTTAACATGCCATAGCAGATTCTCTAAAATAGGCTCTCTGCTGTTTCTTTTTTTAACCTGCCACGACGTCTGTTTCACTTCCGGTTCTTCCTCGTCTCCCCTCCTGGGCGCCCCCGCGGAGAGGAGCCGCAACGTGCCCTCGCAGCACCGCTGACCAGTAACCACCGTGCCGTCGGCGTCCTCCACAGCCAGGCTGACTGACCTCGTTGATGTGCTCCACGGCCCGGTGAGCAACACGTCGTGCGCCCGTAAGCCGCAAGTCGTGCATTTTTTCGTGCGAAAATGCACGCTTCGTGGCTGCGAGGGTTCGAACCTGCGACTTTGGCCACGCGTGTTCCCTACTCTAATCAGTACACCACACTGTTACTTATGTCTATATTGGATTTTTTTCCCCACATATTATCTTAAATCGAGATTAAATTGATTGTTTGATGCCCTAAACAAATTAATATGAAAAAGTTGTCAACAACACAGTTGTATAACTTTTCGAGATCTTCAACTTTCATTTTGTTAGTTTCTCTATCCGAGGTCGATTAAAAAATTTGAATTCTAAATTTAAGAAATTCAAACGTAGTTTTCCTTGACAAGATGTTCTCAAATCAAAAAGTTATCAACTATAAAGTTGCATAACTTTTCAAGATCTACAACTTTCCTTTTTGTTGTTTCTCCATCCGAGGTCGTTTGAAAATTTTCAAATTTTAAATTTTAAAAATTCAAACATAGTTTTATTTGACAAGATGATTTCAAATCAAAAAGTTGTCAACTACAAAGTTCTATAACTTTTCGAGATCTATAACTTTTATTTTGGTCATTTATTCATCCAACATAGTGGTAGTGACATTATTCACAAATCTTATATATCCCTCTTATAGTCTATGAAACTGTACGAGAGATATGAAATATTTATGAACAATGTTACTACAATTTTGTTGAATGAACAAATGACCAAAATAAAAGTTGTAGATTTTAATCAGTTCTACAACTTTTATGTTCATGAGTTTTTCAACTGAAATCATTTACTGCTTCAAAATGTTGTTTGAAGTTGCAATTTTTGGAAATTCAAATTTTGAAAAAATAAAGTCACATGAAAAGATAGCTTAAATAATAGCTTTAAGAACACAATAAATTGATAGAGCAAGATTTTAAAAAATTTTAGCAAAAAATCATTAAATTTGAAGTTAGTATGAGAGAAAAGACTAGTTACAAGTTTTAGATAGAGAATAAAAAGAGAAATCGTTGTTCTTCAATAATTTCAAAATTGAATTTCAAACAAAGATTTTGAAGCGAAGAATGATTTCAAATAAAAAAAAGTTATAAACAATAAAGTTTCATAATTTTTCGAGATCTACAACGTTTATTTTGGTCATTTCTCCATCCCAGATCGTTTAAAAAATTCTAATTTTAGTACTTAATTTTTACTATTGGACGTCTATTTATAAGGACGGCTCAATATTGAGCCGGACGGCTAGATATAGAGCTGCCCCTATAAATCGAGCCATTTGTAGGGACGGCTAATAACACCAGTAACCCCTACAAATAAATTTATAGAAACGATTTGTTTGGGCATTATTGGTAGGGACGACTCAATATAGAGCCGTTCCTTAAAAAAAAAAAAAAAGCCTTGCTGTGAATCCTTTTTAGCAGTGGATAGGAAAACCGTGTGACAATTGCAAGGAAGGAGGTGGCTTGGCGGATACCAAACACACACATGCACGCTATTTTTTTTTCTCTTATTTATTGGTTGTGGAAACTACGCTTTCACGTCCAATCAAACTAAGGGCCTATTGTGGAAACTACGCATGCCGTGCAATTTGGAGCGGAACCAAAGTCAACATCTTTACCGGCACCACATGTTCATAATAACGACTAGTCAATTCTATCCCATACCCATCGGCCGTTTTACTACCGCCCCATGGACCCCATCCTTGCTCGCGCACGCGCTAAACCAGCTGGTCAACGGCTCAACGCACCGTGCGGGGCCGTGCGGGGCATGGCAAGCGCGACAAGTATTTGCATCTATCTCAATGTTAATAGGGTCCGTTTGCATGGATTAGAACCAGTGATTAGTCTTCGTAAACAATTATCAGCTAAAAATTAGCCAACTACTCCCTCCATCCTAAATTGTAAGACGTTTGACTTTTTTTGCCTCAAGTTAGACCACTCGTCTTATTCAAAAAATTTATGCAAATATAGTCAAATTTAAGTCATTCTTGAAGAATTTTTATTAATAAACCAAACCACGACGAAAGAAGTGATATTTTACACAAATTTTTGAATAAGACGAGTGGTCAAACTTGATGTCAAAAAAGTCAAACGTCTTACAATTTGGGATGGATTGGGTAATTGTTACTCCAAGCCTGTTTGATCTTGGGCTAATTTTTAGTCCTTTCTATTTCTCTTTCCTCATTTGCCCCTGGACGGAGAAGAAGAGGAGCTTGGGAGGATAGGCCCTACGGCCAGGCACGCGCAAGGCAGACCGGTTGCGCCACCGCCGGGGTGCGCGAGACGTGGGCCACCGGACGCGGGCCGCTGGATGCGTGAAAGTGCACACAGGAGCGAACGCCGCTCCAAGGGCGCATCGGATGTGGCCGGAGGACAAGCGTAGGCGCAGCTACCAGGGAAGGGAGGGCCCG